GGATGATGTGGGTGATTTTTTAAGAAAACTTGTTTTTGAAGGTTGTTTGGTTGGCTAAAAAAAATAAGAAACTAAATTATAAGAAACATATTTCTTGTAATATGTTCTTTTCTTGTGTTTGGTTCATTCTTAAAAATAAGAAAATAGATGAGATGAGATGAGTTGTCATTATATTAATTGATGATTTGACCCACACTTAAGAAAATCAATTTTCTTGATTTTTTTGAGGAAATTGGTGGAAATAAAATGTTAATGAGATAAGATGAGTTATCATCATATTATTGGATGTTGTGTGTGATTTTTAAAAATGAGATGAGATGGAGATGAGATGAGATGGATGATATGACCCATTTCTTGTGTTTGGTTTATTTTTAGTAGATGATATGTGATAGGTTGTGGGATGAAAATAATATTTTGTTGGATGTTGTGCTGAGTTTTAATGATAGAAATGAATAAAAATAATATTTTATTGATTCTTATGTATCAATTTCCTTTTCTTGATTTTAGGCAACCAACCAAACAGCCCCTGAGTACAGCCCCCGAGTAGTAAGAAAACAAAACCATACTATGGGTCCCAATTGTGTGGTGACAGCTAGACCAAGGCGATGCTGTGGACGGGATGTAGGAGAGTTCCACACATCATCATCATCTACATCATCATCATGATGGTGATGGGGACCAAATGGATCACAAAGAACCAAAGTCAAAACCCCACTCATGTTTCCTTCTCTTTTGTCTTCTTTTGATAAATTTGCACTCGAAAGTTACTATAACAACAATTTATAGTGAAGATATCAAATGAAAATATTATTCTTAATTTTAAGACAAAAAATTTCCGGGATTATTTATCTATTATAGTACTGGTTGAATCACATTTATAATGTTAAAATATTATTTACCTATTATAATACAGGTTAAACTTTTAGTGGGGGTTTTGTGCAATTTATTGGGTTTTTATTATTGTTTATTAAGATAGTGGTAGTAGTGTACGGTAGTGTCATGGGGCACCATAAGATTGTCTATTTTTCCATACATTTTGTATTTTGTAAACAAGATATACGAGAAGGATAATTTTTCAAAACCGACATGTTTTGAATTTTATTCTTAAAAAAAGACCCATTTCAAACTTAATTTTAAAAATCGACCAAGTTAATTGAAACTGGGTCGGTTTTTGGAAAAAAAAAGTTTCTGAACTTCACGGGAGTTGAAGTCCCGTGAAGTTTTTTATATAACAAAACTTCACGGGACTTCAACTCCCGTGAAGTTTGAAAACTTTTTTTTTAAAACCGACATAGTTTCAACCCAATTGGGTCGTTTTTTAAAATTAAGTTTGAAACGAGCATTTTTTTAAGAATTTTTTACCAAAGAAGTTGGTTTTGAAAATTTGTCCTATACGAGAATCCATTTGTTTTTGTGAATATATTATTTTCACAATCCAAATAAATGTGCCAACTTAGAATCCCTCGAATTTTTCAAAACATAATGATGGGCAGGGGTGAGAAATTTCACTTGGCTTCTTCGGTAGCGTAAAGTCAACCTTATGTGCCTATCAATGTACTATTCCATGGAGATGGAACTTGAGGATTATCATCATAATGTCTATCTTTGAATAATTATCCATGAGCCATACCTATTGGTCAAAGATTTCAGAAGAATATAATAATATTATTAATTGAATGTGAAAAGTACCGTAGATTACAGAATATGTATCGATAGTATACAATATGAAGTTGACCATACAATTTTGGTCTTTTGATGAATTTGGTGAGCATCCCGATATTTTCCGTAATTGCTTTGAGCACATGGGTTCCATGTGCAATGGTTAGTCATTAGTGTGTTAAGATGTATCAAAATACGAGCTTAGCTATAATTTAAAACATTTTTAAATTTTACGTATTTCAGTTGTGATTCAGGTGACTAGATGCGAATAAAGTATTCATTTAATGTCTAAACTCGGCGAGTGATTATGTTAACATTTTGGATAAAGTTCCAATAGTATGCGGATGCAAATACATCTATTATTACGACGCCCTCTAAGTAACGCCCTAGATCTGTATCCCTAAATCATGTTAACATTTTGGATCTATACATAAAACCAAGAAGTAGATCCATCGATTCTCAAATATCCAAATATAGCCCTATAAGTGTGTGTGCATGTGCGTGTGTATGGGTGTGTGTATATATTAGTTTGCTCAGCTTCTAATTCAACAAGTCTTTTTATTTTTAAGTACGATCACACAGATAAAACTGACGGCGGTTTCAATTAGTAAAAAGTTAATGTTTTGTCTCAATCCCACCAATTTCAAAAAACATCATTATGACATATTAAGAAATTATGTGAAAGGAATAGATAGATAAGGTAAAGCAAGATACATTCTATTTGTAGCTCTGAGTATTATTTGTTGGTGAACCAAGCAACTCGATCGAATTCAGGGCAAAAAGCCCACGGTTTTATTAGAACCCTCTATTTGTAGCAAATTTGAACATCTCAAGTATTTTTAAAGGGATTTTGGAGCCAATGAGTTTGGTAGTTAGCTCAATAATACTGTTTACCTTGGCATCACATATTTCCTAACGGATTAGTGCTGGTTTAAATTAAAGCAAAGGGATAGTGATTGCCTAAACGCTCAAAAGTTTATATTAGCAAATAAGAAAACAAGAAATTTTCCTCTATTAATTTAAGCCGGTCCAACTCGCAAGTCACAATCAGCACGGTTTGTTAATGATTGCCTAAACGCCCACAATTTTGAATATATATATATATATATATATTTATTTATTTATTTATTTTTTAATTTTTGTTTACGAAGATGATTATTTTGATATGAGCAATGATACAAACAGTTATAGTTAGTAGTGTCAATTCAGAAGCTCTCATTATTATAAGGTGATCATCATTATAAGGTCATGAGAGGTTCTAATTATAATTACCCAGAAATATTACAGAAGACGATCGAAGAAAAAATGAATTTACAAGAGTTACATGAGGGTGAAGTGACTGGAGATGGTTTATTTTTCCACCATAATGTTCATTACTCCATCTTTTTATTAGCTCATGAAATCCATCGCTTTACCCTTGTTTAACTCTGTAAATTCATCTCTCCAACTTCTGTAACTGTACATCTCTGAGTAATTACATATTGCGAAAAAGAAGCCATGAAAAAAAAAAAATCTATCGTACAATAATGATGTTGCTCAACCTCAATTAAATTAAATGATAAAGATCATGAAATAGAGCTATTTTACCATTCCAATGGAACAGATGATCTATCCTATTCACGACAGTGAAGGATTTATCATGTAACATATGATACTCATCAACCTCTCTCTATATATAATTCCATGGCTTAATGCTACAGTAATATTTTAAAAAAATGATATGTTATCCCGCATCTGCTACAGTAATACATTTTAAAAATGATACAGTAATTTCTAATAGTGTTACAGCATCCCGCATATATACTACAGTAATATTCTTTTAAAAATGATGGAGTACTACTGCCACAGTAAATTACTATAGTGCTACTGCTACACTAATATTCTTAGGTCCTCACGTTGTTACAGAGGAACAGATAGCCTGCTATTTTAAGTACTAAACTTGAATTGAGAATCTCCTAATCGAGACGTTGAATTTGGCGGATACAGTAATAACCGTCGCCTCGCTGGGCTGGGCCCCCAAGCGTCACGTAAGTCTTGGCGAAGCTTTCATCTGGATCTTGGGTGGAGGATGAGAACAGCGGAAAGGGTAGGCCTGTCAATCTAGAAAGTAAGAGGGTTATTTAAGTAATTTACGAGGAGATAATGGCTGAATGGGCTCCACTCACGAGGACGAACAAACAGGCACTAAATACTGGTAAAATAAGAGCGAATGAGCTGGGGTTGGTGGTCGCATGAGCCCAGGGAGCCCACTACCTCCTCCGCCTCCACACACCCCCGCCCCTTTTCATTGAAGGCAGCGCCGTTCAATAGCTAATCCCCTCATAAATGGGCTTTTTATTCACACACCCCTTTGTCTTTTATACCTCCACTCCTATCATTATTATTGCCATAAAATATGGTTATTTAAAAATATATATATCTACATACAAAAAAATATATAAATAAGAATATTAGATATAAATAATCCACTAAGAACTAGATTAGGTTCAGTCCATACCGACCTTTCTCCTAAACTGAATCTACAATGAATCAGAAGAGTAGTGATCTAAACTAGAACTGGTTAGTGATTAATTTTTTTTTTGCCAAATAAAAAACTCAGAACTAGACATTGTTTAGTACTTACCTAACCTTTTATAATATATGAATAAGAAAACCAATGTAGGTGAATGTTGTCAAATATCTAGATAATGTAGATCTGTTTGTTAATTCTTTCAGTTTTATAATTGTTATTCTAAAATAAATTCCAATCATCAAGAAATCTAACTGTAATGCTCAGATGTGTCTAGTACTTCGATCAACTCCATAATTAAAAATTTATGGTCAATTAGTAATTTGTATCGTATAACTTACATGTTTTTTCAATCTTAAATATTTTCCATACATCAATTCTTAACCATACATATTTTGGCATTACATGGTTTGTATCCATGTTTTCATTTTACACCGATCACCAGTTTTTTTTAACCATAAACGCATTCTCATTGGTACAGGTAATTAACAAACAAATACTTAAACAAATCTTTTACAAGTTTAAAAATCTTTTCCAAGTTTCTCTTGATAACCATAGATGCAGTCTCATTAATACATGTAACGTAATTCCAAAAACAGGAGCGCAGTCTAGATTATTTTGGGGTGAGAATAGTACACACAGCTTTGCATTTCTTCCCTCTTTCAATTTACCCCTTCAAATGATTCCCTTTATTAGGGTTGAAATCTCGTGTTCAGCTTCTTTTATCGCCCTTTTCAACTTCAACCGCATCAACCTTCTCCAAATTACCCTTCACACTTACCTCATATCCCCCAAGCTGCCACCTCTTCTTTCATGGCTACAACTACAAGCGCGTGGCAAACCCGTAAATTACGGATCTTACGAGGCGTTGATGCCGACCACTCCGACCCCGACTTCGTCTGGGCTTAGGATTTCAAAATCTGGAAGCAGATCTGCTAAGGTTCGATCATTCCTCCTCCTCTCTTTTTGTTTTTGGTAGGTAGTCACTGTAATTTCGTTGATTTTTCTTAGTTTGGGGATTTTTGATTTTATTGCTCAATGAGTTAGGTACGAGCTTTAACATTTTTCTCTAGATTAGGCTCCTATGATTATTTTTAATTTAGAATTTAGGCGTTTTTACCAATCAGAGCAAATTTGTTTTTGTTCTCGTTTTGGTAAATCTGTGTACGTTAGGGAAATTTAGGTCCTTTCGCCGATTAAAAGGATCACATCAAAGGAATTATTCTTGGTAGTTTCATATAGTTTTAATTTTTGATCCAAAAAATAAAAATGGAAACTCTCTTATGGTAGATTTGGTAACGCGTCACTGAAAAATCACATCTTTCCTCGGTGGCCTTGAATTAGGAAATTTCTTGTGCTTGCATCTTTATCTTATGTGTGGATCTTATGGTAATTTTCCTAATACGGAATTCTGGAAACAGATCTTTTATTTCTCCATGCGGTTTTGCCATTTTTGTTGGGAACTTTATGATTAGATCATGTATTAGAGGTAAAATTTGATGTTGATTTGATTTGGTATACCATGTGAAGGAATCTGGTTGTCTTCTTCTATGTCCGTGGTCTCCCGTGAGCCTGCTATTTTTGGGACTTATTTTGCAGATTGGGTGTGTCTTTGGATGTAATTGTTGGAAGTTACAAGGGTCTTGTTTGTTATTTTATTCAGATAGACCCTCTCCTTTTCACCCTTCCTGTTGTTGGGGATAACGCGCTGAGAGTTACTTTGGTGACCGGTGACGATTTTGCTTATTATTAGAAAAGATAAAACTTCATACTAACATTTCAACTGTTAATCTCTCTCCGTCACTTGAAAGTAAAAAAAAGTCTGCTTCTTTCGTCAGCAGCGGATGGTATCGCATCTACCGTGCTTTGTGTTTTTTTTTTCTTTTAAATTCTTTTGAGATTAGAGTTTGACCGTTCTTGGAAAATATTCTGAGAGCTAAACTTTATTGGCTGGAAATGAACTCAAATTACTGGTTAAATACTTCGACATATGTGCAGGTTCTCTTCTTAGAAAAACTTGACCTAGCATTGGAACCTATTCGCTCCTTCGAATTAAATTATCCCATTTACTCTGGTATTGGCAGTCTCTTTCAGGCCTTGTGGAGAATTTGGCTGCAATTGCTTACTTGCTCTTTTGTTAGTGGGCAATTATTAGTGTTTTAAAGATGCCGTCTAAGCAGAAATGCTTTTGTGGTCAAACTAAAAGACTTCGTTAACTTCAGTTGTAAGTAGGGATTAGGGCCAATTATCTTATGCCTCACAAGTTTATGTTTCAATTTATCTATCTATCTTAATAGAAAACCGATTCTATTGTAGATTTGTGTTCTTATTTTTTTCCTTTCTTTTTTATTTTGAGAGAAGATTCCATGGGAGAAGTTATTCTCAGTATTCTATTTCCTTTGCAATTGGCAGTCTCTTTCATGCTTTAGGAAACATGGCTACAAATGCCGATGTGCTTCTTTAGTGGAAATAATTAACCTTAAAACGCATTTCCTAAGAAGACATTTGTTCCAGTCAGCCGCTAAAGTTTGGTTATTCTCATTGAATCCTTTTGGGGGATAAATCACGGCATAAGCGTGAAACCAGTGAGGCTGTTATAATAACTCTCCTAATAATACCCTACAACTGAAAATTTAGAATTTCCTTTGCTTACGTTCAAGCTGTTTCGTAAAAACATGGCTTCTTAATTGAAAGAATTAATAACTCCTGATTCGTTGTATTAATTAGTATTTTTCTTTTATCTTATGTTCATGACTTAAGTTGTCAAGTTAAGACTGTAATGAAATTTTTTTGGTTCTACTTGTAATTATGTATTGCTTCATTGGTTTACTTAAGTATTAGAAAATGACAATAGTATTTATTGGCTAAATTAATTGGCGTGATTGGTTCTTTCCTTGTGTTGTAATTGGCTATTTGTGGGTATTATTATGGTTAAAAGTTATACCATTGTTTGGAAGTTAACCATCATAAATTTATTAGCCTTTTCATATATTGTTTCTGGGGTTAAAACTAAATTTAATATCATAAACAAAATGCTATCTGGACCCAACAGAAGTTACATCTAATGTTGTTTCAGGGTCGTCAATGCCCTTTAGCCTTTGAAATGTTTAGCTCAAAGAATACTTGAGTGAACGTCAGTTTGCTAGTTATTTTTACTATTGTTTGGTCTGCATTCATATGGATTGACATTGTTCTCTTCTATTTAAATGTCTTTGCTTTATTGAAGCCCTGCTGCATTGTGCAACAATTGAGCATCAAAAGTTATTTCTTTACAATTCTTAAAATTATTTGTTAGTATCAACTATAAATGATCTTGTTGTGTATATCCGGACATGACTAGAGCACAACGTCTTGCTCCGATGAATTTGCTAAGGCAGTTCTACTATTAATTTTCCATATGCTGCTTACTTCACAGTAGCTTATACTAATGTTCCTCTTCTGCTTTGCAGCAGAAAACCTGTGCAATTTGTTTGGGCGTCATGAAAGCAGGCCAGGGACATGCTCTCTTCACTGCTGAGTGCTCACACACCTTCCACTTCCACTGCATTACCTCAAATGTAAAGCATGGCAACCGAGTCTGCCCCATTTGCAGAGCTAAATGGAAGGAAGTACCTCTTCAAGGTCCTCAAATCCCAGAGGTTCCACATGGAAGATCCAGAGTCAACCCAGTTAGTTGGACCCAGGATGATGGATACATGAATCTCCTTCGTCGTGTCCCTCGATCTGTCTCTTCAAATCGACAGCATCAGCTGTCACACATCTTCAATGCATCAGAACCAAGTACTTTCGATGACGACGAGCCTGTGGACTTGCAAACTGAGACTGTTAGAGATAGTACCCAACAAAGATTCGTCAAAACACTTGAAATCAAGATGATTCCAGAATTCTCAGCCATTCCTAAATCTGCTTGTACAGATAACTTCAGCGTGCTTGTCCACCTGAAGGCCCCACAAGCTGGCACTGAGACTATCTCTAGCAGAACTCTGCATTCAAATAATACAAGCTCACGTGCTCCTGTAGATCTGATCACTGTTCTTGATATTAGCGGCAGTATGGCTGGTACCAAGCTTGCTCTTCTGAAGCGAGCAATGGGTTTTGTTATCCAAAACCTTGGGCCGTCTGATCGGCTTTCAGTTATTGCCTTCTCATCAACTGCACGCCGGCTCTTCCATCTCCGTAGGATGTCTGAAGCTGGTCGGCAGCAAGCCTTGCAAGCAGTCAATTCGTTGGTAGCCAGCGGTGGTACCAACATCGCCGAGGGCCTCAGAAAGGGTGCAAGGGTGATTGAGGAGAGAAAAGTTAAGAATCCAGTATGCAGCATAATCCTTCTCTCTGATGGGCAGGACACATACACTGTCTCATCCAGCAATGGTGGAGCTCACGGCTCAACACCAGACTATAGTTCTCTTGTGCCACCATCGATCCAAAGTGGCAGCAGCACTGGCCATCACATACCAGTTCATTCTTTTGGTTTTGGTGCAGATCATGACTCTGTTTCTATGCATTCGATCTCTGAGTCTTCTGGTGGGACCTTTTCCTTCATCGAGGCTGAGGGTGTTATCCAGGATGCCTTTGCACAGTGCATCGGTGGCCTCCTCAGTGTTGTGGTGCAAGAACTTGAGGTCAATGTCGAGTCTGTGCTTCCTGGAGTCCAAATTGCCCCCATCAAATCAGGCAGTTACGCTAGTCAAGTCGCAGAGAATGGGCGTTCAGGGTCGATCAATGTGGGAGATTTGTATGCTGATGAAGATAGAGATTTCTTAGTCTCTGTCAATGTCCCGTCTGTTTCCACCGAGGATGTTGTGTTGCTGAAGGTAAATTGTGCGTATAAAGACCCGATTTCAAAAGAAACAGTTTGTGTGGAAGGCGAAGAGCTAAGAATCCAAAGGCCAGAGATTGTCAGAACAATAACTATGTCTATTGAGGTGGACAGGGAAAGAAATAGAATCAAGGCGGCAGAGGCCATGGCTGAAGCAAGAGCTGCAGCTGAGCAGGGCTTGCTCTCCCAGGCAGTTTCAACACTAGAATATTGTAGGAGGATACTGTCAGAGTCCTTGGCAGGAAAGTCTAATGACCGCCTATGTGTAGCTCTAGATGCAGAGATGAGAGAGATGCAGGAGAGGATGGCGAGCAGGCAAAGATACGAAGCTTCTGGAAGAGCTTATGTGCTTTCAGGGCTAAGCTCTCATTCATGGCAGAGAGCAACTGCTCGTGGGGATTCAACGGACAGTGCGAGCCTTGTTCATGCTTATCAAACTCCATCGATACTGTCTCCTTCAGCGTTTAGGTCGCCCAATCCAGTCCTAAGGCCAACTAAGTCGTTCTCTTCTCCGGTTGTGGAGCCGAGGTAATATTCGGTATAATTAAGTTTTGAACAGAAACAAAAAAAAAAGAAGAAGAATTTCTCATGTTTTTTGTTCAGTCGCCTCTCGTTTTCTTCTAGTTTTGGTGTGCGGCGATGGGGGGTGGTATATTGGAGGGGAAGTACAGATTAACGGTGTGGCGGTATACGTGGTGTGGGGGTTCAATAAAATAATGGATAATGGATATTGAAGTGATTCAAGGGGGAAAGGTGAAGGGGCGGGTTCAACTGTGGATTCTAGTTTTTTCAAAATTTCATTCTTATCTCTCTCTCTCTCTCTCTCTCTCTCTCTTTTGTTTTTTTTAGGTTTTTTTTTTTTGTTTTTTGTTTTTTTTGCCCTTCTGGTTTTGGTGTACATAGGAGAAGGTTTTGCCTCAGGAAGGGGTCATAAGGTTGTAATATTTTGGAATTCTGGTGGGGGTGCATTCTTCTCTTTATAATATATTAATATTGTTTCTTGTTTTTCCCCGTGATTTTTACGTGTGTTCATCTTTGATCCCAAAACTACACTTTTACTTTCATTTGTACAGGATGCATGACTGCCTTGCTCTCTTTACAGTGAGAAAATATAGTTCTGTTCCTTGGAGGTTGTAGCCCTTTGTTCTCTTTTCTATGAATGCTCTTTGGTGCTCTGTTATATGAATATGAATGCTTAATAGGGAAAGTAAATTAGTCGAACTATGTTTTGCGTAAAAATTGGTGCGTGTATGAGAAAAATCTATAGATACTGCCACATCTTGAAAGTACTACACGTAAATGTCCAGCCACTGATTGTATCAGATCTAATAATAGCTTCTAGTATTCGATCTGTCTTCTCTACTGATTGAAAGCACTACACGTTGAAGAGACCTCGGGGAGTTGTTGCAGTTTGAGTGAAAAATACATGTTCAAACTTCGACTTGTGAAAGCCTAGGATTCTACAAGAAGATATTGACGGACAAATTTTTAGAACGGATCTTGTTTGAAATAATATTAGCAAAATCGATTTATTTAGATAAAATTTAACAAAATTGTCTGTTTTTTGCCGACACCGGCATAAAACAGTTGATTTTGTTGAAATAATATTTTCGATATACACTGGATTACTAATCCTGTGTAATTGCTAGGTACTAATCCAACCCAATTAGTGTACATGAGACTAGTGTGGGATATAAAAATTGCCTTGACTACAGTAGGACTAATAGCCTCGTGCATTTCCTGGGCAGTTCATATGCACGTTTTATGTGCGTGTGCACTTCTCGTAAAAATCGAAAAACCATCTCTAGTCTCATGTATTTTCTGTATAAATCCAAAAACCGTTGTAGGCGTCAAAAAATGCTTACAGACGTCCTAACACCACTCAAGACAACATAGAAGAACGATATACACGTCATCAGGCAACACACTGCAGCGCGGCAGGACATGGTGCCGCGGCTAAGGCGCGACAGCATATGACGCCGCGGCTTAGGCGCTGCAGTCTAGGGTGCCGCGGCTTTAGCGCGACAGCTTAGGGTGCCGCGGCTTCGGCGCGACAGCTTAGAGTGCCGCGGCCATTATAGAAGAGTGCTGTGGCGGTTACAAAAAACACTCGGTCAGTTATTTCGCCCCCGTTTCAACTGTGGTGCACTGAGACCCCTATAAATACCTCCCTAAACACGAAGTAAAGGAGAGAGAGCATTTTGGAGCAGAAGAGGCTTGAGCTTTCAGTGATTTTTGAAGAAGAGAGAACTTTCACCATTTGACAAGCATCATTCGGTGATTCCTAGAGATCTAAGCTCAGACTTGATCTTTGGAAGAACGGACATCTTACATCGATAAGATATTCGTTTTCAAATCTTTACTTCGATAAACGAAGGAGAGATCCCTAAGCACCCTCACGATCTTTGAATCGGTGGTCAACGAGCCAAAGCACTCACGGCACAGGCAAAGTCCCACAAAGCAGGAGTTGATAGACAATTTCTGTGTTATTTTCTCGAGAGTTGTAATTTTTGTTTAGTTTCATTGTAATTTCGTGTAAACAAATTAAAGTTTAATGGAATCGACAATGGAGTCAACTTTCGCTGAAAACAACCGTCTCACATCGATACATATCATAATGAAACTAACACAAACCACATTTGCATTTCTTGTATGATGACACACCATAAACTCATTTCAAATTCCCACCACGCATCACACCACAAACTCATTTCCAAATCCAAAAACCGTCTCACATCGATACATATCGTAATATATACCTTCTCATACCACTACACATCACAAGAAATAACTTGGCACAAATAATTTCAAGTATATTTCACATACTATCTTGATACATATTGGAATAAAGCCAAGACACATAATGTACTTCATAAAAAACATTGTTTGGTGGAAAATTTATAGTAAAAAGAATGAAAGGAATTTGATTTTTTTTTTTCGATGTTAATTACAATTTGGATTTCCGATTACAAAAGAGAGGAGAATTGATCTGAATTCTCCTTTTTGTTTAATCATGGGTTCTTCACGGTAGCGATGAGATGCCTCCCTCGAATGCTTGCGTTGAGTTTGCTTCTCGTTGACGATCCGAACGGCTTGTTTCACTGGAACAATTGGAGAACTCTTCACTAGTTTTATGACTCAGAACGAGTGCAAAACTCTGTCAAAAGAGTTGTTTGAACCGAATGATCGATTAATATGCCAAGTATCTGAATTCTTTGCTGCTGAAGAATACTTTCCAAGCCCAGCCCTTGATCTCGCCTCTCAGAAATCGATCTAAAAAACTCCACCTGAAAGAATCCCCCTCAGATCATAGAAATCCGATCCCTTTACTCCGTGAAGTTTGTTGGAATTTATAGAGAGATTAGGGGTGTAACTGTCCCCATAATCCGTTCCTAAATGGGGGTTTAGTTGCCCCTAGGGCTGAGCATGGTTCTGTCCAAACCGAAAAACCGATCGAACCAACCGAATATTGTGCAATACTACCCATTCTGATCTCAAACCCTATCCGACCCGTCCCCAAAGAGTCAAAGACTCAAACCCTAAACTCATTTTCTCGCCAAAGAACGAATGGGTCCGCGTCAAACGGAACCGTTCGACGCTCGAGGAGCGCATTCGCAAGTGCCACGCGATGTCAGCGCAGGCACGGGCTCAAGCTCAGAAAGCCCGTAGAAAGCTGCAAAAGGAGGTGGAGAAGAAGCCACCACCAACATGCCAAGTCTGGAAGCCTAAGTCTGAAGTGGCGACTCAGGCCAAAAGCAACCAGTGCAGCCTTCTAAGGAAGGTCAAACTCCGGCGAGTCAACCAAAGTCGCCGTCAATCCCAATAACTTCTCCGGGAGATCATGCAGAGTCATCCCGAAGCCAATTTTAGAGCGCCTCGGTCTAAGTCCGGATGAGAGAGGCAAAGCTCCAGTTCACGAGCGTTTGGGCCCGATGAAGAAGCCCAGAACGACTCAACACACTGAGGGTCGCCATCACCTCCAGCATGACAAAGAGCTCAAGGAAGCTACGCGCACCAATTTGCGCATTGAAGTCCAAGAGCACGCCGAAAATTCACGCCCAAACAGGCATGTTTTGAGGCGGGTAACCTTTGAAAGCCCAAAGAAGGCAAGTCAACCTCAGATGGAAACATTATCATCTGATAATGATAGTGTTATACCTGAGAAGGCGTGCGTTGAAAATAATATCATTATATCAGTGTTTAATGTTTCATAATCTCCTACTTTGTTGATATCTTTTTTTTTAACACAGTTTGTTGTTTGATAAGAAGTTTGATGAAGTTAGAACCAAACAAACCGAAACAAACCGCACCGAACCGACTTACAACAGTTTGGTTCGGTTTTGAATTATAGGCGGTTCGGTTCGGTTGTTCAAATTTTGGTAAAAACCGAACCGAATCGACCGTTGCACACCCCTAGTTGCCCCATTAATCGGGTGTAACAACCCACTCAAACCACTCCCCAGATCATGGGTGAAAAACGATTTTAGGAACTGTTTGGATCACATTTGAACGAGTCAAAAAGCCTTGATTTGCGTTCTGAGCATGAACCCGCGTTCAAACGTACGCCTTTGGATGATGTGTCAGCGTCTGAGCTTGAGCTGCGTCCGCGGTTAAATCGGTATCACGTTTGTGCTGCATTCAGCGGCTAAAAACACTGCGTTTATGCCGTGTTTGAGCTTGGTTTGAAGAAATCGTTAACTTATAATCCCTTCTACAGGAGAATCCTCCAATTGTAGCCTTCCTTTGTTAACATGAAAGTCGTCTGATTGTAACCTTCTTAGTCAAGATCGAGCGAGCAACCTATGGTAGAGTTCGGACAAGACGCCCTTCAGAAGATGAAGAATCTGATGCCGGCTTCGCGGTAGCATCAGATAATACAGTATCCAGCGAGGGACAACCCCGCGAGGCACTTATGATAAGTGCGGAGCATATGGCCAAGATGCTTGAAGACGCTTTGGCTAAGCAGAAAGAAAGTTTCAAATAACCTTCTTAGTCAAGACTGTTGGTTGAAGTCTGACAGGGGTCAACTATCTATTGTGATTTTTAGACAGTCTACAGAACCCCCTCCAAAGTTTTTAAAAGTTCGCGGTTGACTGGGACGAATTTTCGGAATACTTTAGATCCCGAGATATTGTCGCTTGATCATTCACTCTGTCTGATTCGAAAACGTCACGAACCCGGTTGTTAGAATGCTGAAATTCTGCTTCCTTAAACCAAACAAGATAACTTTTGTGTATTGATGACAATGAACTTAAAAATACCATGTGTAATATTCTCTAGGAACTTCCCATTGGAATGATTTGAGGTATTCCACCCCCAGCTCTTTGGCGAATCTGAATCCAATTATATTCGGCCATATTATTGGGTTATCCTTAAGAATATTAAGAGTAATATTCTTGAAGAACTTCCCATTGTTGAAAATAAGAGAAGTGATTTAACCTCGTATACCCGTCGGAGGAAAGGGAGAAGCAGTTTATACTCTTATACTCTTCGGAGTTACATGAAGAAGCAATTTATACTCGTATACTCTTC